GGAAATCCACTCACCTCAGCCTCCCAAAGGCGCGGGATTACAGGCTGAGCCACTGAGCCTGGCTCCAGCTAATTTTTTGATTTACTGTAGAGACGAAGTCTCGTCATGTTGCCCAGGCTGGGCTCCTGGGCTCAGGCAATCTTCTCACCTCGGCCTCTCAAAGTGCTGAGATTACAGGCATGAACCATCGTGCCTGGGCTCATTATCTCTTTATTGATGTATAACAATACCTCAGAAATGTGTGATGCATCCCAAATAAAGATGCGCCTTTTCTTAAATGCTTTTTAAACATTTGTTTTTGAAAAAGTGCAAGATTTTCATTTGGTTTATGGTAAAGTGCTCACTGGCAGTTACTAAATGGAGAATACCACCAGTGTAAGTAAAATAGAAATAAAAGTGTTCCAAATTAAAAAAAAAAAAAAAAGAAAGAAAGAAAAAGATGTTATAGACGACATTTTAAAGTGTAGTAATTTGGGAAAAATCATTCTCTTTTTTATCATCTATGCCTGCACTGTTCAATATGATAGCCACAAGAGGCTATTTAAATTACTTAAAATTAAATAAAATGTAAAGTTCAGTTAGTCACACTAGACACACTACAAGGGTCTCACAGCCAAACGTGGCTAGGCTGCTGCACTGGACAAGGAAATGCCGAACTCTATTGGACAATGTTGATCTATATGCTCTGCTACATATGGGAAAGACAAATATCTACCAACTTCTTTCCAAGACAGACAACACTATGCAGTGTCAGTGTTCGGTGCTAGAACACCTTTTAGTCTGATGATTCAATATCCTATAGTCACAGGAGCGTTATGACACCTGCCAGTATCCTGTTGGTTATCCCCTACTCCCGCCTCCAAACACCAGTCTTGTTACCTCCAGGTTTCACTGCTCTATCAACAAGCTGGATATTCCAAACAAGGAAAAGGAATTCAGTGAGGGGTATGAATAAGCAACAGCTCCTTGGCAGTGCAGTCAAGAATGGTGCCTGATTTCAGGATGAACAGCATTGGTAAATAGGCACATGACAAACTGGGGTGTCAAAAGAAGGTCACTAGCAACGGGACTCAGTAATATAAATTACTTAAATTTGACCTTTATTTCCTGTCTCTGGGAATAGGAAGATTTGTCATTATGGTGTGTGTGAGATACATAAGAGAGAGACGCGTGTGGGAGGGAGGAGCTATAGAGAGTAAGTTAATTAAAATTTTAAAATACCATTTCTGTACTTGAATTGACAGGGTGAGGAGACACTGAAAGAGGTCACTGAGGGAGCTCCTCAACCTTCTATCCTTGAAAATCTTTACAAAGTAGCAAGACACACTTATTTAGGAATAAGCATTTTAGATGCAGGATGTCAGATCAGATAACTTCTCAACATCCTTTCCAGATGTGTGATATTCACATGAAAACAAATTAAACACTGTACCAAATAAGGAAGTAATGTTAAAGTCTCAGAAATTATATGGGATCAACCATCTCAGTCAAGTCATACATAAATTTTTCAAAACAGGATCACTTTACCATCTTATTTTAGTTTAAAACTCTAAAATTTGGATCCCACAGCACATACTGGTATATGAAGGAGAAAGTGCTGTGGAGCTTAGTTTAGGTTTTTAAAATTGGCCACATATAATATACATAATGCCTAGAATACAGTCACACACGCAGATACCTCAGATTCACCTCTAGATTCCGACACGTGGTACTAAATTAACCACTTACTCTAAAGATGCCAATCCAATCCTTTCGACGGGGAATGAAATGCTGGGTGAGGGTGTAATAGCACGTGATGTCCCCTCCAGGGACGTAGAACTTCTCCACACTGTTAAAGATGACCTGAGAGAAATGACAGTGATCCAGCAAGACAGCTGATGTGGGAGGATCTTCTATCGTCTGTTCCATGGTGGGGGTCCTGTTATGAAATATGGAATCGAGTAAGGCTTAAAAAGTGTTGTCTGAAATGCTGGAAACTCCTGGGCTCTCGGCCAGGAACATTCCGTTCAAAGGAAGTCAGGAAAAGCAACATTCTGACTAGTGTCTAGATCATATAACTCTCTTTCTGTTTCACTTTGAGCCATTTCACGTTCGTAACTTCCCCTGCTACAATAATTTTCTGAGAATATCTTCAGCTTTTTCATCACAGGCATCTACCACCCTCACACAAACAGAGGTTCATAGCTAGTTTGTTCTCCCTTCTTTAAATGCCTAAACAAACAAGGCAGCCTAGACAAACAAGCCTGTGTTGAGAATTGTTAGACTTAAATTCCAGATTTTTTTCATCCCAACAAGCCCTATGACTTTAGGAAAGTCAAATGTTCTGAACTTCAGCTTCTCCATTCAAATTCATTTACCCTATAATTATCAGGCCCTTCCATACATAAGACACCCTGCTGGGAGCTAGGGAGGAGAGTGGGCAGAAAGGAATGAGGGAATTGACAGGCCAAGAATGGGGGAGTTCAAATTCCAGCTTCACCACCTACTAAATTTGTGTGGGTAATCTACTTATTCTGCTCCTTCTGTGCTTGTTTCCTCATCTGTAAAATGGGGCCATAATCACATCTACCTCATTCAGTCTTTTGCAAGGCCTAAGTTAAATAATGTAGTGTCCAACCCATAAATCAGTGACTGTCATAAAGTAGGTACATCATACAAAGCAGCTGCATGTTGAATAGCAGAGTAAAGTATTAGCACAGAGTCTTTACAAAGAAAGGGTTTAGAGATGTTAGTGATTGTTACTACTGTCTTTTTTTTCCCCCTGGCACAGTCTTTGCCCTAAAAGGGGTCTCAATCTAATATAGAGGATAGATGAGTATACAAGTGACTGCCAACTGAATGAAATAAGAAGTGCAAAATGCTCTGGGTTTCAAAAGCGGGAAAGATGTAGCTGGTTAGGAAAATAAAGAAAAGCTTCTGGGAATGAGCAGAATCTTAGATTAGCTCTCAAAGAAGATTAAAATTTTGACCAGTGGGTTTTGAGTGAGGGCATTCCAGCTGAAGAAAACAGCACGAGTAACAGCAAAATGGAGCCCATAGTTGGAAGACAGAAAGGGAATACGTTTAGCTATAAAATGGAGATAATAATCCATGTTTTACCTTTCTAGATCACAGTACAGATAAAATGTGATCAAGAACAAGGCCAGGCATGCTGGCTCATGCCTATAATCCCAGCACCTTGGGAGGCCCAGCAAGAGAATCACTTGAGGCCAGGAGTTCAAGACTAGCCTGGGCAACATAGTGACATTTTTCTTTTTTTTTTTGAGTTGGAGTCTCACTCTGTCGCCCAGACTGGAGTGCAGTGGCCGCTCCCGGCCACCGCAGCCTCGACCTGCTGGGCTCTGGCGATCCTTCCACCTCAGCCTTCCAAGTAGCTGGAATTACAGGCATGCGCTACCACACCCGGACTGATTTTTTGATTTATTGTAGAGATGAGGTCTC